AGGGGGAGGAGACTTTATGTTGTCAGTTTCCTGTCACATTTCAGGCAGCTTGCGTGGTAAATTCCAGTTGCCTTGTGAGGGTGACAGAGAGTAATGAGTTGAGGCCCTTGGCTGAATTTTCCCTTGCTCCAAATGAAGGAAAAGTGATGAAAATAATTTAATTTTTCAGGAAATTTGGTAGGTTAGATTGGAATTGTTTTTCTATCTTCTCTCCTCTTTTGCTTATTAGAAAGTATTGATTCTAAAATAGAGAAAGTGAGTTTATTAGATTTAGGTGGACATTGATTAGCTGTAACCCAATTATAAATCCTCAGAGGTAGGTGTTTGTAAACATGGACTTTTCGCATCTAGGAGCTCATGGTTCCTGCTATACCTGCTGATCAGCTGGATGATGCTGAGTACATGCAAGATCTATAGCCACTGAGCTTAGAATTGCATTGCTTTTGATTTATCTTAATAGGATCCTCTTGATTTCTAATTTATTTTTCCTGGATAAGGACATCTTCCTCTTGACAACCTATTTAAAAGGCACAGGAACATTTGAACAGAGGCTGTATTTCTTGTTCTAAGGCAGAGCCACAATCAATATAATGTAAAGTACCCAAAAGAATCTTTTCTCTCCTTTTTTTTTTTTTCCCCTGGATTTTGCCATAGGGTGGATGCACTTGATGGAGAGAGACAGAGAAAGGGAGAGTGATGGGGCCAGTAGGAGATATGGTAGTCGAGACGCTGGATTCCCACATGGCCAACAGCGGTGGTTCGGGTCTTGGACCTGGCAGCTTGCTTTCTCTCTCTGTCGCCCTTGTCTTTGGTGAGTACATATATCCTATAACAAATTAAAAAATAATAGTAAGGGCTGGCACATGGCGTGGTGGTTAAGGACTGGACTCCCACATCACTGACCACGGTTTGAGTCCTGGACCTGGCGACTTGCTTTCTCACTTTCTCTCTCTGATCCTCTCTGGTCAGATGAAAATAATAAATAAAATAAAATAAAATAAAATAAAATAATTATTTAAAAAGTAAAATTAAATGGATAATTCCTTTAAGAAAAGAGCATGGCGACAGAAATGCCAGCTTTGCAGAAATAATAATTAATGCGGCTATTTCTAAACACAAATGTGTGTGACTCACCTGGAGAAAGGTAGACATGCTTTTCTTGGGGTGATCAGATACAGGGTTTCCTTTAATTTGCTTTTGAGAGTGAGAGACAAGGTTTGTAATTTAGTGAAAAGACTTCTCATTGGTCTGGCCCAAAAAGGCGGGACATCTGGAAGGTGGGGGCTTGTAGGCCATAGGTGGTTTTCTTTTTCTTTTTTATTTTTTAATTAATTAGTTTATTTTAATTTGACCAGAGAGAGAGAGAGGGAGGGAGGGAATGTGAGAAAGCAAGCCACCAGGTTTGGTACTCTAACCTGGGTCAGCCATGTGGTAGTGTCCAGTGCCTTAACCACCATGCCACCTGCTGGTCCCCCATAGGTGGATTTTACAATTCTTAGGTTAGTGATTGAAAAGGAAGGTCTCTGTTTTGGAAAGGCATCAGCAAAGAGTATACTTTCACAAAGGTATGGGAGCTTGTGTACATACAAGATCCAAAGGACAGGATGTAGGATGATTCAAAATGGTCTGCTAATGTTTATGGGCGTGACTCACCCACTGAGAAGATACTGTGCTAGGGAAGAGCCTGTTATCAGTTAGGCCAAAATGGTCTGTTAATGTATGTGGACATCACTCACCTCAGGCCTTCTGGAAGGGATTTTTGGAAATAGGAAAAAGCAGTGAGACTTCTATCCTAGAGAGAGAGAGAGAGAGAGAGAGAGAGAGAGAGAGAGAGAGAAATCAAAACCTTGAGGGGATGGCCGTGTTGTAATCCCTTCTCTCTTTTTTTTTGGAGAGGTTTTAGCTATAGGGCACGTGCACTCTCCAGAAAGACAGAGAGAGATAGACAGAAAGCGGGAAATCATTCCCCCTGGGGGAATGGCCACGCCACAATCCCTTCTCCTCCATTTTCCTCTTGGGATCTTGGGCATGCACACACACGTGCCTGGTGTGAGTTTAAGCCACCGGGTCTGGGACTCGAACTGCAGTTGACTATGTGGGAGTCCACTGACAATAGCCATTATGCTAACTGCTGGTCCTGTAATCCCTTCTCTTCTATTCTTCTCTTGGGATTTTAGGCACTCATGCACTTGTGCCCAGCATGATTTCAAGCCACTGGGGCCAGGACTTGAACTGCAGACTACCATGTGGGAGTCCAATGCCTTAACCACCACACCATCTGATGAACCAGAGTCTTCTCTTTCTGTTGCTGCTTTTTCCTTCAGTTTTCTCTGGACCATAAAAAAAATTGAGGACTTATAGAAGCCTTGATTTAATAAAATTTTAAGTCAGACTTAAGATTTTTTAGAGCTTTTCCCCCTCTTTATTTCAGAATCAGTGAACAGCAAACACTGAGCATTTACTGTAAGCCAGATACCTGTTAAAAAAGTGGGACTGGTAGATGTGTAATAGTTACATCGCTGGACTCCCATCTAGTCGACCACAGTTTGAGTCCTGGACCTGTCCCCCAGGTGATGATTTCTTGCTTTCTGTCACTCTGTCTCTCTGGCGAGCACATGAGCTCTAGAGCAAAAATATCTTTTTTTTTTTTCTTCATTTTTATTTTTTTGGAGAGGTTTTTCACCATAAGGGCGCGTGCGCTCGCCAGCCAGCCAGAGATATAGAGACAGAAAGCGAGAAATCACCCCCCAGGGGGGATGGTCACGCCGCAATCCCTTCTCCTCCATTCTCCTCTCGGGATCTTGGGCACGCATGCACACGCGCCCGGCGTGAGTTTTAAGCCACCCGGTCCGGGACGTGAACCGCGGTCGACTACGTGGGAGTCCAGCGACATAGGCATTACTCTAACTGCTGGTTCCCAGAGCAAAAATATCTTAAAAAAACAGGTGTAGAATCTAGTTAGTCCTTGTGCTAAAGGTGCTTAATATCTGGTTAGGGAGATTTCTGTGCTTTGGTACATGTACAAAGGTGAATCTTGTTTATTTTTTTTACAGTATTAAAGACATTATTTGTGGTGTCTTTTGTACTGTTGGATGCATAGCTCTTTTTTTTTTTTTTTTTTTTTTTAGTTTATGGTATGTGTGCTTGCTAGAGAGGGGAAGAGAGAGAGGGAGAGAGAGAAAGAGCAGAAAAGTGAGAAATCACCCTCTGGGAGAGATGGTCATACCACAATCCCTTCTCCATTCTCCTCTTAGGAGTTTTGGATACCTATGCACTCGTGCCCAGTGTGTTTTTCAGGTTGCTGGTCCAGGACTCATCCTGCATGGTTGGCTGTGTGGGATCTAGCTGCCTTAACCTCAGTGCCACCAGCTGGCCATGTATCTCATTTTAAACAGAATTGTGATTTTGTTTCCTAAAAGTTGGGAAATGTATTTCCCAAAAGTTATTGAAGTAAATTAGTTCTGTTGCTCTGGATTTGTCTGAAAGTAAAATCAGCTTCTTCCCTAGCCTCTGTACTTACCATTGGATGAGATTAAATTTCACAGCTAGGGGCCAGCAGTTTGTGTAATGGCTATGTCGCTGGACTCCCATGTAATCGACCGCAGTTCGAGTCCCGGACCTGATGGCTTAAACTCACGCCAGGCATGGTGCGTGTGTGCCCAAGATCCTGAGAGGAGAATGGAGGAGAAGGGATTGTGGCATGGCCATCCCCCCTGGGGGTGATTTTTGGCTTTCTGTATCTCTGTCTCTCTCTGTCTGTCAAGCGCACGCACCCTATAGCAAAAACCTGTCCAAAAAAAAATATTTCACAGCTAGAACCTAGGATTTGAGTGAGAGAGGAAGGAACTTTGTTAATAAAAGAAAAAAAATCTAGGAGGTGATGGGATATGTATAGATCTACAGTGAGATTTTATATATTTGTGGGATTTCAAATTCTCATTTTAAAAAAGAGTTCCTTGAATATAGGAAAATTGCACATGACTTTTAGGGCTTTTTTTATATAGAACTGAAAAATACATCGAAGTTTTGCACTATCTGCAATAGTGTTACAAATATATACAGCTAATTTGAAAGAACTATATTGCTATATTTAGTTATTTTGAAATCAAATTTAACTTTTGGCTTCTTAACTGCTGTTTTTGGCCTTGGGTCTCTTTCCAGAGAAATTTCTGAAGACAGTCAAGTGCAGTGTGATTTATGAGGCGGTGAAGGCCAAGTCCTTTGCTGTGATGAGGACCTGCTTACTTTGGGGAAATCAATGGAGCATATCAGTCTGCTGCACACTTCCTGCCTTAATGGTCCTGAGCTCGATCAATACTTGAAATTTAACTTCACCATCAGTCTGTGGGCAGTGTATGCTTTACAGCCTTCTTTCCATCAACCTCAAGTATATGGCCAGGCCTGTTATAGATGGAGCTAGTTACACTTGCCTGTTCGGTTTTGGATCTGCTTTAAGCCTCGTCCACTGGCGTGTTTTAAGGATGTAGAATGTGTTGTGCTGTAGGCTGAGTAATGATTTAAATCTTGACACGGCCTGGTCAAGGCAGGGAGTGTTGGACAGACATACAAGATCTATAGCCTGGTCGTTTATCATTTTTTCTTAAAACATTTCCCATTGCGAGGTATTTCAGTAGACTTAACAGCATCTTGGAGGATGTTCTGGCACTGACCGTGGCTCTCTATTTTTCTTTTTTAAAATACTTTTTTTTAAGAGCTGTTTTAGGGTCACAGAAAAATTGAGAGGAAGGTACAGAGGTATCCCATATGCCCCTTGCAGGTACAGCCTGCCCAATTAATGACACCCCCCATGGAGTGGTACATTAGTTACAGTTGACACACCTGTATTTACCTGCCATTATCACGCAAAGTCCCGTTTACATTGCGGTTCACTCTTGGTGTTGCTTATTCTGTGGGTTTGGACAAACACATAATGAGCTATTGCCATTGTAGTATCCTATAGAGTATTTTCACTGCCCTAAAATGTGGCTTTCTTTTCACAGATTCTCTAACCATGGCACAGGTAGAGAAACGGGGAGGTTTGCTCCGAAAATCTTCAGCCTCCAAAAAACCACTGAAGGAAAAAGTGGTGCTGATGTATGATGAGATCTTCATGGTAAGGCCTGGAACCCTGATGTTCTGCACAGCTTGCCTCCTTAGTTTCTTTTTTAAATAGTGATTAATTTATTTTTATTCATTATTCTTATTTTATTATTTTAAATTTGCTACAGGGCACATGCATTTACCAGAGAGAAACAGGGAGAAAGAGAGGGAGAGAAAGTGAGAAGGCAAGTCACAGGTCTGGGACTTGAATTGCAATCAGCCATGTAGGAGTCCAGTGCCTTAACCACCTTACCACCTGCTGGCCCTGACTCCTTAGTTTCCTATTCCAAAGTGAAAAGTAATCTTACCTTTGCCTGTTACCTTCAAATTCTTGAGGGGATGCTGTGTATGTGGGAGTTAGACGGAAGGTGAGAGAAGGAGTGAGAATGAGCTCAAGGGTAAGAGAGAGCTTTCTCATGGCAGGGATAGACCGTTATGATGTCGTACGTCCAGGTTGTTGTCATGAACTGGGTAAAACAATTGAAAGGAAGGAGGAAGGCTGGGGCAGCTTCTTTTCTGAATAACTCTAAAAAACCAAAACTTGTTTTCATTTATAGCTGACTTAGGCACCTTTCTTTCCTAGATGTACCATGAAATTCCTTTGATCCTATAAATCTGTCATTCAGATATTTTAAAAGGGTGCATTGTTGTGCTGTCTGGTTGTTGGTGGGCAGAATCATGCTGAGTTAGGCAGCCTCATTCCCCAGCTACATGGGATAGCTGAAGAATTATTACCAATTGGATCAGGGATTTCTCTGGGTCTTCAGAACTGCTCACTGATGATGGTCCCCGCCTTTGTTGTGAAATGTACGCTCTAGGGAAGGTTAGAGTAAATAGATACTCTGCAGGAGTTCTTGCTTTCTGAAATTCTAGTCCTCAGCACTACGTGGTGTAGAATATTTATACAAGTGTTCCATGTATTGAGTTCCCACTGCGTGCCTGGCACTCTTCTGAATGCACCGCTGCCTTACTTTTAATTCTGACAAGAACTCTGCAGAGATGCTGGTAATAGCTTCATTTTACAGAGGAGGTAATGAGATCACAGGTGGAAGGTGGTGGAGATGTGATTTGAACCTAATGACTGACTGCAAAGCCCTCAGTCTTTCATCTTTGCCATGTGACTCAGGATAAACAATGCTGAGTCACTGAAATAGCTGTTGGCAAGCTTTAGAAGTAGAGTTTGACACACTGAAAAGTAATACAGAATGCCCAGGTCAGTAAAAGTTGAGAGGCTGTAGAGAGAAAATGAGTAAACATTGGGATCATACTACCATTCTCTCTACGTAAGCATGCTTGGTGTACGTAATATATATAACTCCCATCTAAGTGAGTTTCGGGGATTGGAAGGGATTGCCAGTTCTATGTGTTTCCTGACTTTCATTTGTAGGCAACAAAATGACATTCCAGAAATGTGGTGGTCAAAGTTTGACCTCGGTTGGGGAGCAGGACTTGAGAGAAAGTGATAGAAATAATTCACTAAATAAGGACATTATGAGAAGGCCAGAAATGTTGCTTCTCTATGCCATTTTCAATTAAAAATCTAGAAGATGGGCCAGACCCATAGTCTAGTCGTTAAGGGAGCAGAGGATCCCACATGGCCTGCCACGGTTTGAATCCTGGCCCTGGTTACTTTTAAAACACTCCAGGTACATGTGTGAGTACCCAAGAAGATGGAGAAGTGGAGAAGGGCATGACCATACCTTACTGTGGGGTGATTTTTCCTCTCTGCTCCCCATTTCTAGCAGGTATGCCTGCTCTCTGGCAATAAAAAAGAAAGGAGGATTCTCTTTCTCTTATTTTACCCATTAACCAGAAGCCTCTGACTTCCTGGAATTTCTGTTTGAGAATTACTGCTAAGAGATTTAGGATTTTATAGTACCATGATTTTACAAATATTTGGGATGAATTTGGATAAAGAAGAGAGCATGCTAAAAACTCTATAGAGAAGTGTCCCGACCCGGGGGGGACAGCTGAACGGGTTTCCTGAGTGAAGGAGTGAGAGCCGGGGCAAGCAGCGTAGTGTTACAGCACGGAGACGACAGTGTCGTCTGTTTATTGTGGGCAGCACGGTACAACACAGAGACGACGCAGTGTCACAGTTCTTAAGGGTCGCGTTGTCTACTGTGAGCAGCACGGAGACGACGTGGTATCACAGCTCTTCAGGGTCGTCCGGAGACGATGTAGTGTTAACAGCTCTTCAGGGTCTCCCAGTTTGTCTGGAGACGACGCAGTGTCAGCTCTTCAGGATCTTCAGGGTCGTCTGGAGACTGCGCGGTGTTTCAGCTCTTCAGGCTCTTCAGTTGTCGTCTTCCTGGTCGTCGTCGTCGTCTGTCTACTGTGGGCCAGGCATCGTGGTTATATACACTCTGGTGGGTTGTAAACGGTGGGCCCTGATTGGTTGTTAACGGTGGGTTATGATTGGTTGCTTTTGGACCAATCATGAGGTGCCGGGTATGCAAATTTGAGGGATTCTAGTGGCCAATCAGAGCAAGGTTTCGAAGGTCAGGTTTTTGGAAGGGAACCAATCATGGTAATTGTTTGCTCTCTGAGAAACTTCAGCAGACTCGCTGGTGCGCAGCTTCCCACAGAGAAGGACTAGCAAATGGTGTAATGGTTGTCACTGGACTCCCATGTAGTCAACAGTGGTTCAAGTCCCAGACCCAGCAGCTTAAAACTCCTGTTGGACGCGTGTGTTTGCGTGCCCAAGATCCCGAGAGGAGAATGGAGGAGAAGGGAGTGCGGTTTGGCCATTGCCCCTTGGGGGTGATTTCTCACTTTCTATCTCTCTGTCTCTCTGGTGAGTGCATGCACTCTATAGTGAAAATCTCTCTTTAAAAAAACCAAAACACTCTAGGGACCAGCAGATGGCATAATGGTTACATTGCTGGACTCTCACATAGTTGATCGTGATTTGAGTCCTGGATCCGGTGGCTTAAAACTCATGCTAGGGGACTAGCAGGTGGTGTGGTCGTAGAGGGCGCTGGATTCCCACATGGCCAACTGTGGTTTGAGTCTCAGACCCAGCAGCTTGCTTTCTCACTTTCCCTTTCTCTCTCTGGTCAAATTAATAATAATAATAATAATAAGTAAATGAAAGCATTATTTAAAAAAACACAAAAACCCTCACACTGGGCGCATGTGTGTGTGTGTGCCCAGTATCCCAAGAGGAGAATGGAAGAGAAGGGATTGTGCTGTGGCCATCTCCCCTAGGGGATCCTTACTCACTTTCTGTTTCTCTGCCTCTCTGTCAAGCACATGTGCCCTACAGCAAAAATCTCTCTTTTTTTTTTTAAAAAAATGACACTCTGTAGAGAGGACTAGTTACAAATGGGAGGGCAAGCAGAAATATTCAACATGGGATGTTGTAAAATCCGTTACTTAGATGACCAGGGCTCTGATGCCTATATTTGTGCAATTTAGTTAACTTTGTGGACTTGTGTTTTCTCTTTCTTTTTTTTAAAATTAATATTTCATTTATTTATTTACTTAATTATTTAGTTAACTTTTAAAAAATTTATTCATTCATTTATTTTAATTTGACCAGAGAGAGACAAAGAGACAGAGAGATAGAGAGAAAGTAAGCCACGAGATCCAAGACTTGAACTGCAGTTGGCCATGTGGGAGTGTCCAGCACCTTAATCACCATGCCACCTGCTGGTCCCTCATTTATTTATTTTAAAGATTATTTTTGCCATAGGATTGTGAGCTCTCCAGAGACAGAGACAGAGAAAGTAAGAAATCACTCTCCCGGGGTATGGCCACATTGCAATCCCTTCTCCTCCATTGTCCTCTTGGGATTTTGGCATGCATGCACTTGTACCTGGTGTGATTTTTGTGTTAGGTCCAGGACTTGAACCACTGTCGACTGTGTGGGAGTTCAGCACCTTAACCACCATGCCACATGTTGGCTCCTCAACTGTGTTTTCTTTTTTTTTTTTTAAAGAGAGATTTTTCTATAGGGTGCATGTGCTCACTGGAGAGATAGAAAACTAAAAATCACCTCCCAGGGGAGTGGCCACACCTCAATCCCCTCTCCTTCATTCTCCTCTCGGGATTTTGGGCATGAACACACACATGCCTGGTGTGAGTTTTAAGTCGCCAGGTCCAGGACTTGAACTACCGTTGACTATGTGGGAGTCCAGTGACATAACCATTATGCCATCTGCTGGTCCCTCTTCAATTGTGTTTTCTTTTTTTAGAACTATTTTTTATTTTTTATTTAGTTTTACTTATTTATTCATCCATTTTAATTTGACCGGAGAGGGACAGAGAGAGAGAGAGAGAGAGAGAGAAAGAGTAAGTAAGCTGCCAGGTCCTGGACTTGAACCATGGTTGATCATGTGGGAGTCCAGCACCCAACCACCATGCCACCTGTTGGTCCCCTCAACTGTATTTTCTTTCCCTTTTTTTTTTTTTTTTTAAGAATTATTTTATATAACTATTTATTTATTCATTTATTCATTCAGAGGGACAAGGGTGTGGTGGAGTGAGAAAGCAAGCCACCAGGTCCACGACTTAAACTGTGGTCAGTCATGTGGAAGTCCAGTGCCTTAACCACCATGTCACCTGCTGGCCCCTCAACAGTGTTTTCTTAAAGGAGAATAATGGTAATATCTATCCTCCCAGGGTCACTGGGTCATGTGTTGGATTGTTAGAAAAGTCATGACACATTTTTGCATAGAAAAACATAGAAAAAATATGTCATGACTTTGTCTTTTTTTTTAAAGAATTATCTATTCAATTTGATGTATTATTCATTTATTTTAATTTGACCAGAGAGAGAGAGAAGAGGGAAAGTGGGAAAGCAAACCACCAGATCCGGGACTTGAACTGTAGTCGGCCATGTGGGACTATCCAGTACCTTAACCACCATGCCACCTGCTGG